AAAGGGTCCGTGCCTCCATTCCCAGATTCATGCTGCTTGCATTGTCATAAACAGTGCAAAAACAGTCCTGTCCCACTCGTTTTTGGTTTCAGTCAGCCTCTGGCCGACTCTTTATTCAGAGTTGTCTGCTAGAATTTGAGCCTGTGGTGAATGCTTCAAATGAAGTCCTCGGCTGGTGGACGTGCTTTGTATGTGCAAAGTGCTCCAGGTCCACTTTATTTTCACTTGTGCCGAATTACAAATTCACACGCCTGCTACATTTATTGATTGTTTGTTTGCTTGTTTTGGTTGCAGGTATGCATTTTTTCCCTCCATATTTATTTTAAGAGGTTTTGGTAAAGTTCTATTTTAGCTCATTTTACCTCACAAGTATGAGCAAAGTGAAAAGCTTCATCTGCCTGAATATCACCATATTGAAGGTGGAAAAAAAAGTGTATTCAGTTATGCTCACTTTGTGCGTGTGTTTGTGTGTGTGTATATTAATGTGTAATTTTTTTGCCTCTTTTGTTAAAAAGAAAACGTACATTTGAAAATTGATGAATAACAACAATAGCCAAAATAGTATTCAAATTAATTTAATATGGGCCGCTTTTGGTTTTTTTTTTTGTTATTTTTGTTTCAAGAATAAGATCCAAAATTTAGAATAAAATTTGTGGTGGAATACGGAGTACCCGGAGGAAATGCGAGCATGGTGAGAACATGCAAACTCCACACAGAAACGCAAACTGACTCAGCCGAGGTTCGAACCAGCAATCTTCTCGCTGTGAGGCGAACATGCTACAATGTGCCACCATGCAGCCATCATCAGAATATATATATATATATATATATATATATATATATATATATATATATATATATATATATATATATATATAATATTTATTCTTATTCTATATATATATATATTCGAAATGAAAAAGGAAAATTGAGCAGTGCAATTACATTACACACTGTGGTTCTGTCTCTCACCATCTCAGCCAGTGAAGTCAATCCACTTATCACCATCCTTACACTAATGTATTTTAGTTTTAAAATGACATTTTAGAAGGAAAATTATTCATATCCACACTGGTGTTTTATCTAGTGTCTCTGAAAAGATCTCTGCCTCCCCTTATTGACCTTATTCTAAAATGCGGAAGTGCACCTGTTTTTGCGATTGTCTTAGAACTTTCGATTCAGTCGCATATGGGAGAAATGACTAGGAATAATAAACGGCAGAAAATGGTAAAACTACTTGCTCTACAAACAAATGTTTGCATGACTATATAGACCAAGTAGAATAATATAATAAGAAAATATCAAATTGCAACATCAAGCAGCGTAACGAGCAGTTTTTAACGTCAAAAAATGAATGGAAGTGAATATGACTGGAAGTCACGAGACAAAAAGATTCAAATGGCAGCGCCCGCTCGTCGGCGGAGAATAAGGTGAATACCATTAAAAGTGTACATCACATGACACTAAGCATGCCATCAAGAATAAACAGGAAGTATGCCTACCTGTTGAACAATACACATGAAGGCAAATTGCACTGCACAATGGCTGCTAAAATGCTCAAGATTGTGAAAAAAGCTTCAATAACTATGTCCATGTTGTTGTTTACAGGTTATTAAGACCAGTCTGTCATCTTTCAGTAGCATTGTGGTTATGTGAAAGAAGCTTGCCGAGTAAGGGAATGATAAGCAATGACTAGACCCACACGGAATCTGCACTCGCAGAAATCTGCAGATTTCTGCAGATATTCAGCCCATCATCAAGTCTATTTTTACTTGTGTAAATGTGTGTAAATTTTCTTCAGTTTTTAAATTAATTTCAGTAATATTATTGACTAATACAAAAAAATTCATATGATTTATTTATAATACAGTTTGAAAAAGAATTAATATTTAACTTCGTTTAGTAGATATATTATATAGAGACTTTGTTTGCCAAGTAAGTGGATCTAACTGGATTTGCATTGTAAACATTAAGTAAGTTGTTATTTTTATTTCATTTTTATTTTTTTATTAGGTTTATAGTTACGGTGCTCCCAAAATCCTTCTGCATAAATCTGCAGATTTTGTACCAAATTCGGGCAAAAATATCAAATAAATATCCACAGATGACTCACCATATAACACTGACCCAAAAAAAAAAAAAAAACAATCAAAGAGAAAATGTTGGCAGCCATGGCCCCATTTTCAGATGTCTCTGTTTTGCACTGTTCACACTGACACAGAGCACCAGTGTTTCCAAATGAGTATGGCCTCTACAGTGTTGTCAAAATTCAAAATTTTTTGTGTGGGCAAAAACTCTGGGGTCTTGTGGACAGAAGGTGTAACCTTATCAAAAGCTATCAGTTTTAAAAATGAAACAAATACAGGTAAGTATAAACAGGGCCTAATACAATCTCATCATGGTGATGGGAAGTAATAGCTTAGAGAATTTTCAAAGTTCATGTTTGGCCATTCAAATGTAGCCCTGATTCCTGATCTTGAGCCCATCAGAGTCTTTTGCTGCCTTCCTACTTGTCTTGTCAAGGAAAGATGAAACGGCATTTTTGTTTTATCACTTATCTAGCAATCATAGAGAACTTCAGCATGGTGGTGGACGTGTTTTGGAACTGAGAATTTTCACCATCTTTATTTGATGGTGGTTAATTGTATGTTCCTGATGAGCCTGTGAGAGTCTTTTGCTGACTTTTTTTATTGTCAATGGAGGAGTCAACAGCAAATTTTCACTCATCTAAGTTTTCCAGGACATCTTAAGCCTGGTGGTGGGTTTTGTTGTGGCACTGGGAATATTTGGCATCTAAATTTAACAGCATTAATTACCGCTTTTTTTTTTTTTTTTTTTTGACAAAAATATATACTGTATATTTTAAAGGGTTATCAGGGTTAAGGTTGATTCTATTAGGTCTATTAATAACACACACACACACACACACACACACACACACACAAAAAATGCCTGTGTTTGTTAATGGAACTCTTTCACTGACTTCTTCATCATTCTTAGATAAAAAAAATAAATAAATAAATAAAAACATGAGTGATCAGAGTCCTTGTCCATCATTGCCTATAAATAGTACCTCTTCATTTTTACATGTGATCTGATCTATATGTTTTTCTCTGATTATATTGTATTCTGCACTCAGGGGACCAAGTAGTCCAATAACTCATTCTGGGCAATTACAACACTAGAGCTTTCTGTACTATAATACACCTACTCAGATTGCCATTAAAAAAAAAATAAAAAAAAAACCTTTGGCATAGAAGTGCTGTCTCATAATTGGCCTAAAAAAGAGTTAAGTTCTGATCATTTACCAGTGCTAAGTGAAATTATTCTGGCCAAAATTCAGTCATTTTAGTAGTAATGGGTTTCCTATAACATTTCGTAATGAGTTTCTTAATGGCTTTCACATGAGGAAGAAAAATTTCCACATGTAGATTTCACTTAAGTGTAAGTTTGTCACATGAATTTGACATGCTAACCAATAAAAACAGCTTAATTAAAAAAAAATAATAATAATTTGTTTAAACAATCAATCATATAATGTATTGCTGTGCTTTTGAAAGTGGATAGCTCATTTGGGGATGAAACAAATGTGCTGTGTTTTGCTTGGTGTTGCAGTCATTTTATACCCTCTTTCTTTGGAATTATTTTCTCTGGTGGTCCAGAAACTGATAAAGTACTTGCCTATACTGTGTCTGAAAAGTTTCTCAGTATAACATCTAGTTTATTGCACGGTTTTATAAAAACATCACATAATCCCGCTGCCTCATTTGCTTTATTTAGATCTACATATTTTATGTGGATTTTGGGAGATTCCATTATAAAATATAGAAGATAAAAGATAAACATAAATTCTAAAAATGGACATTAAAAGTGCATGCACTGAATTTAACTGGATCATTTAATTAGAAGACATAAGATATGGGCATAAAAACTATGGAAGTGTCTTCACCAAATACTTTCCCCAAAATACAGCAAGCTAGCAGATAGGTTTCATCACCCAAAATCACAAGAAATGTTTCAGAATATCATTATGAAATCCCCAAGCCAAAGTATGTCATCATTTGACTTGATTACCTTCCAGAAATCTCACATGATTGTGTTACGTTTTTTCAGACATCAGAACACATGATGACATGACAGCATTTATTGCATTTTGCATTTTTACTCTGAGGCACAAATAATGTATTATATGCCAAAAAAGACTACGGAAACTTCCACATTCGCTATTTATTTTTGGCACTGGTGTCTCAGGAAGTTACTATTGTGTTCTCTCCTAAAAATTAACATTTATTCACAATTTACTCACCCTCAATTTGTTCTATATATATGTTTTGAATATGTTGTACATGTGAACAGAATATATGACAAGTACAGATACAAAAAACTCAATGTGCATGAACACTTCACAAAAATGAAGTGAAATTGTTCTCAGCCTTCTTTGTTTATGTTTAGATAGAGATTTATTTTACTTAAAAAAACAGAAAAAGGACCTATTCTTTGCCATAAAAGTGGTATTACTGAACATATATACAGGAGCCTGATAAAAATATTAATTTTAGAGTAAAATTTCAGAAGGCATTTAGAGGTTTTTGCATCTAAACAAGAAAGTTAGAAACATATAACCATTGATTTTAATAACAGGACATACAAATAGTATGGAAGACAGTGGTTACAAGTTTGAGTAAATGATGGCAAAGTTTTTTGGTTTAACTATCCCTTTAACTCACTGTATACTTTTAACTGTAGTCTTTGTTTTTCTCAAATATGCTGAAATATTTTAAATTCAAAACTTTAGATGGATATAAAAAGTATAATATATATATATATATATATATATATATATATATATATATATATATATATATATATATATATATATATATATATATATATATATATATATATATATATATATATATGTATATATATTAATAAATTCAATAATATAACAGATTTTTTTTCTTTCTCTGTCTTTCTCTCTGCATCTGTTCCTTTCTCAGATTAACCTGCAGAGGAGGATGCGGGTCACAGGAGTGATAACCCAAGGAGCCAAGCGCATCGGGAGCCCAGAATATGTTAAGTCCTACAAAGTGGCCTACAGCGATGACGGAAAGACCTGGAGGACATACAAAGTCAAGGGCACAGATGAAGACATAGTGAGATTTTTTTGTTCTTCTTTTGTTTAATTGCTAAAAAAACTCAGCATGTGCTTTTGTTTCCCTCAAGCTCTATGCAGAGGTTTTCAGGCAGAATGATGGAAATGATGAAAGCTACTGTGGCCTCACATGACATACTGTCCATCATCTCAGATATTATCTTTTTTATTATTATTATAATTAAATAATAATGAGAGTTATTACTATTTTGAACATTTAAACTTTTAAAGTCTTTTGCTGCTAGGATATTTTAGGCTAATATATTTTGATAATTTAAATAGTTGTTAGTTGTATTTAATAATTTTTTAAATATTTACATATTAAAATGTGATTGGTGTTTTTTTTTTGTTTTTTTTTTGCATGCTTGGAAAAAAAAAAAAAAATGTATATATTCAGTTCAGATGCAAAAGCCGCTAAACACCACTTCCGCCAGAAATGAGCTAATGACTTTGAGGGAATGCTATAGGCACGTAGGCACATGTTTAACAAATAATTTTGCTTCAAATCATCTAAATCCCAGCATTAGCTCATTCAGAAATAACATTTTGTTCGCAAAAGCTTCTAAACACCTCTTGCCTTGCTTCCTGAGAGCCAATCAGAATGCGCGAATCAAATAATATGTTTTCAATGTACGGCGCACTTACACAACAGTTTTTAAAAGGAGTTTTAAACACTGTACTGTACAGTCTAAAGTGTAGCATGCATCCATAAGGTTTTTTTTTTTTTTTTTTTGCGCGGTGATGCTATGAATGAATCCAAATTACTATAGTTACATTAAACAGCAGCTCCATTTACAAAAGACAAAGGTAAAATACTGTTCTTTTATTCAACATGAATGCTATGAGGATAAACAAGAGATGAAAAAAAACAAGGCCTTGAGTATGATAAGAATGACAGTTACAGCTAGTGTCTAAGAGGCATCCCCTTTTTGCCCAGTAAGCCTATCTTGTGATTTATCTGATAATGAAATCTATTTATAAAAGATATATATATATATATATATATATATATATATATATATATATATATATATATATATATATATATATATATATAATGTATAAAAATATACATTATTTATATTACTTCATGTTACATATACGCCTGATATGCTTTTTATATTCATGGATAATGCAGAGACGATGATGTTTCTCAATGTTTTTGCATTACATTAAGCTTAGTTTACTATGTTTGCAGTGTTTACATTGTTCTACTTGCAGTAAATCTAAATCCTAAATATCCTAAATGAAAACAGATTTTTAAGATTTCAATTATGTTAATTTTAATGGTGATTAATGCACTTGCTTGACAGATTTCATTTATTCATTTTCCTTTTGCTTACTCTTTGGTTTATCAGGGGTCGCCACAGCGGAATGAACCGCCACTTGACAGATTTAAGTGTTTTTAGTTTTAGATAGTTTGTGTAATGTGTTTTATGTTGGGTAAAATAATTTCTTATTGCATCTTTAGTGATTTTCAACTAATTACACTGGATTTAGCCGTTTTTTATGAAAACACACACACATTTAGTTAAATGCAAAAGTTTGCCCACACCTGATATTTTTTCAGAATTGCAAGCCAGTCTCCTGGTCTTTCAAATCAACAACTTTACATTTTATGCCCTAGGGAAAAACCAACATTTTCAGTTCTGACATAACATTTTTTTAATCAACAAATGTGATGCAATTTAAGTCATAACAAAAACAGAAATGTGGAAAAAATTGGGCACCCCAACAGAATAAAGACATCAATCTTTTTTTATAACAACTTTTTTGCTAAAATAACAGTATAACTTCGTATAGTCAAGGATAAGTCACTGAATTCTCGCTGAAGGCATTTTGGGCTATTTTTCCTAGCAACATTTCTCCAGTTCAGTCAGGGTTTATGGGTGCTGAGCTTTAACTGCTTTTTTTAAATCAATCCATAGGTTTTCAATGATGTTCAAGTCTTGGGACTGGGATGTCCATTCTAGTACATTGTATCATGTCTGAGCATGATTTCCTTGTTAGGTCTAGAACTGTGCTTTGGATCTTTGTCCTGCCGAAACATCCAACCATGCCATAAATACAGCTTCTTGAATGATTCCTGAACATTGTTCTTCAGAATCTGTTGATACTGGGTGGAATCCATGCGTCCTTTGACTCTTTCAAGGTTTCCGGTACCTGTGCCTGTCACCTTTCCCCAAAGCATGATGGATCCTGCACAATATTTTACATTACGGAGTAGGATCTTCTCCTGGAATGCTGTGTTCTTTTTCCACCATGCAAAGCGCCTATGGTTGTGGTATCTGTTCACACTATATTTTTCCAAAATGATTCATGCTTTTGCATATATGAAATGACTCTTCCTGTTGGCAGAAGAGAAAAAAAAGGCTTCTTCTGCATCACCTTCCATTGAGCTGTTGTTTGTGTAGAGTGCACTGGTCTGTGGAACGATGTACAAATGACACTATCAGCAGTAACATGTTCCTGGAGCTCTTTGGAGGTGGTCTGTTTTTTTTTGTTTTTTGTTTTTTGTCTGTGACCATTCTAAACATTCTTTGCCTTTGAAATATTTTTTCTTGGTCTACCACATCTTTCCTTCACAAGAACTGTTCCTGTGGCCTTCTATGTTCTTGCTGTATTTCTGACTTTGGAGATAGAGACATTAAACCTTTGCGGTAGCTTTTTTTATCTTTCTCCTAATTCATGTTGGCGAATTATCCTAGGTTTTAGGTCATTAAGAAATTTCTTTTGTGGTTTCAAAATTTCTACATTCCGGTTCACAGTAAGGAGAAGCACAACTAGCAATCAGCTGTCTTAAAAGCCTTTTCATGATTGGTTACACCTGTGTTGGGATTGTTTACTGCGTCACTCAAATCAATTGTATGTTGTAATCATTCAGCATTAAGTGACTACAGGTTTTGAAATCCACACAAAATAGAGGGTGCTCATACTTATGCATAGCCTATTTTTCATATTTATTATGAAAAAACATCTAGCTTTCTCTAGAAACTGAATGGCATAACACTGTAATCTTCCTTATAAAGAAAGAGCACATAACTATGCAGCCACAGATTTGTAGTAATAGCATATAATAATAATAATAATAATAATAATAATAATAATAATAATAATAATAATAATAATAATAATAATAATAAAGTAGTTATGTTATGACATTGTTTTTCATGACTTAAATGAGTTTCATTTTTTGTGGATTGTTACTATGACTAGTATTAAGAAATGCAAATTTAGTCTAAATAAATCTTTTTTGGACCCTTTTACCTCAAACATTTTTCATGCATGGCTTGACTTCAGTGTTGGTAAATACACTTTTGATTAAAGCGCGGTGTATTAAATTGGGGTGACTGTGATGGAGCAGCGTTGACCTTCTCTCATCTTTGTAAAATCTCCCCACGTTCTCCCTCTAGATCTTCCGAGGGAATATTGATAACAACACTCCATTTGCGAACTCATTCACCCCTCCAATCGAGGCTCAGTATGTGAGGATCTACCCGCAGGTGTGCAGGAGACACTGTACTCTCCGCATGGAGCTGCTGGGCTGTGAGCTCTCAGGTGAGTCGCCTCAATAGACAGCATGCATCATTCTGAGTGCACATCCAAAGGGGACTTCAGAGCTCTGTTATGCTCCTGAAACATTGTCCAGACTGTCAATAAAATGCACAATAGTGCTGAAATCAAGTCTCTTAGCCGTTTTATGGGATCTATATGTCATGTGAATAGTGAGGGGAAAAGTATTTTTTGCATTTTTTAGGAAACATGTTTAAACAATAATTATTGGTAATAAATAATAATAATAATAATAGTAATAATAATAATAATAATAATAATAAAGAAGTTACTGTACAATTTCCATATATTAAAACAATTTCATACATGGAATATATATATATATATATATATATATATATATATATATATATATATATATATATATATATATATATATATATATACAATTTTCATTTGCTAAAATAAGGTGAGTCTTTAAACACCATAAAATATCAAATTTAACCCTAATGTACTTCATTTTTAAAGAACATGAAAGCTCCTGTTAGAACTGTTGTTATTGTTATATTTATTGTTATATACAGTATTGAGACATCTACTATTATCTATATTACTGTAGCATTTTTGCAATCGTTTGCTGAAAAAATATGATCTTTTTTATAGTATTATAGCATTGTTTTATAATGTAAATATCAGCAGTCATGAAAATGATGTATCTTTAAATTCATGAATTCAACTTTGCTGGAAAATGATGACGTGGTTGGCATAAAGGCTGATTTATACTCAACGTCGTCACTAGTTCGGTTGAGTTTGCGCGGCAACTGTAACGTCATTGCGGTGTTTGCAAAGGTTCACAAAACATGATTTAGGCTAGAAAGCGCACAACATTTTTTGAGACTCAAGCAAGCAGTTCACATGCCAACACATTTCATTTGAGTTTAATATGAATCACTTTGGTTTGGATTTTGTCTATAACATGGACTCTTATAGACATCTTTATGATTCGTCCATGCTTATCATTGGGTTAACCAGATGGCCAAAAATTCTTGGCTAGAAATTGCAACAGCAGTGAGAAAGGAAGAAAGTTATAAAAACTTGAGAGATATGTTTTTTAAAACCAAAAAGAAAGGTCATGACAAAAGTGGAGACCCATGTGCTTTTAATAAACAATTGCAGAATATGTTTTTCCACAAGGTTTTACACTGCTGTATATATATTGCAATATTGAATTTAAAACAATTTAATAGTTACTAAACTGAAATAATAATAAAAAAAATATATGTATTTGATAACTGGAAAAGAATATTTGAACCTAAAAGTTTACAATATAAGCGACGAAGTGGCGCAGTAGGTAGTGCTGTCGCCTCACAGCAAGAAGGTCGCTGGGTCGCTGGTTCGAACCTCGGCTTAGTTGGTGTTTCTGTGTGGAGTTTGCATGTTCTCCCTGCCTTCGCGTGGGTTTCCTCCGGGTGCTCCGGTTTCCCCCACAGTCCAAAGACATGCGGTACAAGTGAATTGGGTTGGCTAAATTGTCCGTAGTGTGTGAATGTGTGTGTGGATGTTTCCCAGAGATAGGTTGCGGCATGAAGGGCATCCACTGCAAAAAAACTTGCTGGATAAATTGGCGGTTCATTCCGCTGTGGCGACCCCAGATTAATAAAGGGACTAAGCCGACAAGAAAATGAATGAATGAGTTTGATATTTGTTGTTCTGTTGAGCACAAAATAAGATATTTTAAAGAAAAATGTTACCAATCATACACAAATTAGGAAAAATAAATGCATAAAGATATTTATAGGCTACATCTTTACTCACTTTAAAGTAACCAATTACTTTTTCCAGTAAAATAATATATTAATATGTATATGTTTATTGATTGTTCATTTCTGCTAAAATATATAAGAGTACTGAAAAATTATACTTAAAAGTATAATTTCTTACCCCAAAATGTACAAGTAAAATTATTTGTTGTAAATATTACTCAAAGTACAAGAGTAAAAGTAGCCCTTTTTTAAAGTACTCATACTCAAGAGAGTACTGGGTAGTAAATATGACACTGTAAAAGGTTGATGTGTTTACATGCAATTTGTGTGTGTGTGTGTGTGTGTGTGTGTGTGTGTGTGTGTGTGTGTGTGTGTGTGTGTGTGTGTGTGTGTAAACAACATTCTCTAGTGCGTTTAGTTATTGTTTAAGGGCATTTTAGTTATCATACAGTAGACATCCATCATTTTCTCGTCAGTGATGTGCATCTAAATAGTCTCTCAGTCATTGTGTGTAAAGATTTAGCATCATCTGTGTCTTGAGGTTGTTCTGTATTATGACATTTGATTAGACGGGAATCACAAGACTGACTATTCTACTTTAGCCAATCACCATAGACAAGAAAAAAAATTATAGTAGTGACTGCAGGTTGAAGGAAAATAGTGGAGTAAAAGTATTGATACAGCACTAAAAATGTACTCAAAAGAACACATTTTTACTTAAAGTAAAATTTCAGAAAAACAAACTTAATGCAGTAATTTGAGTATTTTTAATTTGTTACTTAACACCACTGCCGGCCATGATTCAATAGCTAACATAAGTTACATGGAAAAACCCATGTTTGTGTAATCTTGACTTATTTACACACATTTGAACTGTTCAGGATGTTCGGAGCCAATGGGCATGAAGTCTGGCCACATCCAGGACTACCAGATCACAGCCTCCAGCATCTTCCGGACTCTTAACATGGACATGTTCACCTGGGAGCCTGGAAAAGCAAGACTGGATAAACAAGGGAAGGTCAATGCTTGGACGTCTGGACACAGTGACCAGTCCCAGTGGCTACAGGTATGATTAATTATGTGTTTGGATGCTTGTGGACTGCCTATTCATCTGTTATTGACTTTGATTCTATAGAATATGTCACGGTTGGTTGCAAGAAAGCAGACCCAGTTGCAGCAATGAACAATACAAAGATTTTTGTTGACGGAATTACGCACAAGTAGACAGACAAGGGGATGACAAGATTCAAACAGAAGAGGCAATAACACAGGGAAGCCAGTGGTAGGACTAAGATGACACTAAAATGAACAGCCAGCCAGGAGTAGAAGCAAAAGTGGTGAAAACCAGAGCTAAATCCTGGAGTAAGCCACGTAAATTTCAGACTGGCAGGTCAAAGAAGTCAGGACAGGGGATAGGACTGGAAAAGTAGAGGATAGCAAAAATATACAATAAAATAACTTACTAAATCTAAAAGAAAATATGAAATCAAATATAAATCCTAGCAACAAAAAAAAAAAGGAAAACTAGACTAACTTGGGCAACCAGAGAACAGAGAACAGAAACTGAAATAAAAGACTTCTATAATCTTAAAAAGAGAATTAAACAATCACATAATGTTGTCAAAAGACTACTAATGATCAACTACTAATGCAAGACTGAGACTGGCAGAACAATGGAACAAAAATGGTCATAAGAATAAAGGCAAGACAAAGATTAGAACACAAAATTAAGTAAACACTTGGAAAAAAAAAACTAAAGAAGGTAGTAATTAAGAAAGTAGTAGTACAGTAAGTAGACAGGACAACTAGAACAGGCAAGACAAAATGCTCAGGAAGTATACAAGCTTTGGAACAAACCAGCAAAGAAATGAGAACACACAGCACAATATATACTGTAGAACAAAGCACACAAGAGACAGGTGAAAACAATCAGGATAACAAGGTCTAAATAAGAGGGCGGGGTAAATAAAAACAAGGAGGAAAGACAAGAAAAGCACATGGCCAACACAAATTAAGGCAAAGCAATTTAAGCAAGCACAGGACAAGCAGGAAAACATTAAACGCTGACAGGACGGACAAGACTGTCAGGTCAGGACCATAGCTGTGAATGATGAAGAGCTAGTTTAAAATGTACAGTAGCCCCTCTTTGATTTTTTTTTTTTTTATATATATATATTTACCAAATGATGTTTAACAGAGCAAGGACATTTTCACAACATGTCTGATAATATTTTTTCTTCTGGAGAAAGTCTTATTTGTTTTATTCCGGCTAAAATAAAAGCAGTTTTAATTTTTTGTTTTTTTAAAGCAATTATAAGGTCAAAATTATTACCCTCTATAGCCAATAAACTTTTTCGATAATCTACAGAACAAACCATTGTTATACAATAACTTGCCTAATTACCCTAACCTGCCTAGTTAACCTAATTAACCCAGTTAAGCCTTTAAATGTCACCTTAAGCTGTATAAAAGTGTCTTGGAAAATATTTAGTCAAGCATTATTTACTAACATCATGGCAAAGATAAAAAAGTAATAATAAAAAATCAGATATTAGAAATAAGTTATTAAAACTATTATGTTTTAAAATGTGTTGAAAAAAAATCTTCTCTCCGTTAAACAGAAATTGGGGAAAAAATAAACAGGGGAGCTAATAATTCAGGGGGGCTAATAATTCTGACTTCAACTGTAAGAACTTAGCACAGCACTTAGAAGTGTACTTTTACAACATTCAGTGTTCAGATGATCCCTAACAGAGAACCTTAACGAAGATCAAAGCTTCATCACAAGGTCATGATTCCTGCTATTTAGTTCCCAGAATCAAAGTTTCAACAAAAGCCCACTTATCCATTCTCCCTGGAGTCTTTCTTTTTATCTTGTTCATTCACAGTTCAATAAGGTAACCAATCACTTCAAGCTTCATCTGAATTTGCTTAGTTTGTTTTTTGCTGTAATTTAAGCAACCTGATAGCATTTCTATTTAAGAGATGCTATTGTTGTCATTAAATGTAATATATTTATTTTTGTTTATTTATTTTTATTTATTATAGATCTATCCTATTGAATGCAGTAGAGGGTTTTAATGGCAAAGCTGAATTTTCCGCACTCAAGTGCATGTGACAATTTACCTCCACACTTTCATTTGAATGTCATGTTTTTTTATTATTATTATTATTATAAATTTTGATTGACAGCTCTGCATGTAATAGATGGGATTGTGCCAATTGTCAGAAGACATGGACGGTGGTTCATGAGACCAAGTGATATAATGAAATGGGAGTAATTTTCTGGCTCATGAGGTGTTAAAAGTGATTAATATCGTAAGATTGCTGAATAAATGCTCCAGTGCAATCGCAGAAATTGAGCGAGCGCGAGACACAGTTGGGCACGTTTCAAACATCAGTTGCCATGGCGAACTGTGGCCTTCTGCAGTGCCCCAATGGAGCAATCAATACCAGTGGCATCGCAGAATGACTTTAGGCTTAATAGATTAATGGAATTAATCAAGCCTAATGACAAATTAAGTATTCTAATTAATCAAGACAATTGCAGTGCTGCACAGGCAAGAATCACCTTACAAACTGCAGTAACGTCAGAGACATCTTGACCCAACTGCGCACATCTCAAGGATCTGCCATAGAGATGTGCTGAATCACACAACATCAAAATCCTGAGCTTGTCAGAGTGTGTCAGCAGTGCAGGTGCTTTTAGACCGTTTTAGGTCTATTGATTTTGGGGAAAACAACACTGCAGTTGCTGGCAGCCATTTATTTGAATCTCAAATAAGTAGCATAAATCTTGCTTGCTATTATATTTAAAGTATTCTTTACTTATATTGAGTCTCATTTAAGTCTGTAATCCAGAGTTAGTAAAGTTAAACAATTAATGTTTTTCAGAAGACACTATAAATCTAAACATAGCACACAATTAAAGACTTGTTCATGTCTCACTGTGGTAATCTTGTGCAAAAAAGCACACAAAAGCACTTATTATTTTAAACAGAAATAAAGATTGTCCTTTTTTTCATATCATGACGTACAGTACGTGCAATTAAAACAGTCCTGAAATTTGAAAAAAGTAGAGTCATTGGGAACTGATTGGATTGGCATGTTGGAAGACAAAAACATGACACATGCTGATATCCCCACCCGAAAGGTATTCCATGTGACCAGAAGTGAAGAAAAGTTATTTTGAGGGAGGGTAGGTTATGTTATTTGAAAAAAAAAGATTACAGAGGTGATTACATTTTCATGAATGATCAAAGTGCACAGATGCATCGCTTTTAACAGGCTATACTATAACTACATACTTCTAAAAATAAGTAGAGAAAATTTTGATTTCATGCCTACTTTAAGTACTGCAATCAAATTTTGAGTTCATGTAGCTCGTTTCTATTGTGTGCAATGTGAATTCATTCAAAACATGTCAAAGGAACTTAATTCATTTAATGAATTGCACTGCTTGATTTTACAGAGCGCTTTGTCCAGTCAAGCATTTATTTTGCATGGCACTGAATTTGCTTGTGTCAACATAGAGCAGACCTGGGTATTTTACAGCCCCCGGGCCACATGCGGCCCGCTGGACTTCTTTGATCGGCCTACGTGAAGTATTTCAAGAGTTCACACTTAGTTGATGATTTATAATAAGCTTTTTTGGCATGCTGTGCTGGGAGAGAGCCTTGAGCACAAGGGAGAACATGCAAACACACAGAAATGCCAACCGGGCTGGCAAGGACCATAGCCGACGGTGTTCTTGCTGTGGGGCAACAGTGCTAACCACTTGCACCCAATCTAGGTGGAAGGGGTAGGAGAAGGGGAAAAAGGGGGGTTTCATCCAGATGAAGAAGATAGTTGTGGAATAAAGACTGTGGTTATTTAAAATGACTTAGGAATCATATGATTGGAGAATCATAATTACCTAATGCAGGACTGGCTGTGGTCAATCATAAGCATGTGATCCTCTCTAAATTAGTTCATAAATAAACTTTATTTAAAGTTATTTGAATATTATTTACCATTATTTAATTTAAATTCAACCGGAAAAAGGGCCTTGCAATGCACAGGTCGGATATTGCGAGTCCACAAAAGGGGACTGTTACAACCCCTGGGCAGTCTAGGGAAGTGGGGTTGCACACTTGATCAAGGATTTTGTTCAAACAAACACTCAAAGAAAATTGTACTCAAAGTAATGACCACATACAAGAATTGCTGTGCAAATAAAGTGATTTATTACAAGTGGTGATAAGTGAAGCAGTGAGTAAGCTATTTACAATATTTACAATTCACAACCAAAACAAAACAAAAATTAGAAAGACTGGCTATGGGTGACGCTAAAGCAAAGAAACAATCAAAACCAAATAGTCTTACTAATATCAAATCTCCGCTAATCTAGTCTAATAAACAATAATGTGAAAAATAAATCTTCAACGTCCAAGACGTCTTACCTAAACTACACTAACTATCCACTTAACCAAAAATACATGGGTTGGCGCTCACCCCCTTCCCTAGTGTATCTCTAGACAGTTGAACCCCTATGTGTTGAAATGTATGTCACGTGACCTACTTACCTACCAGTCTTTCTACCAAACCTCTGTAGGGAAACATGAGGAAAGGGAATGAATGATTACACAGGTAAAAACAGACAGTGACTAAACCAAAATGACAACACAGTGTAATTAAAGGATAAGACGGACAATATATCACAACAAAACTGAACAAAATGGGGATATAAACACAGGTTCAATCAAGCGAGCAAACAAGCATAGAAACCAGTAACAAGTTGAGCCAACAAAGACTGCCAAACTGCTGGCAGACAAAAAAAATATATATAGTGAGCTGGAGTAATCTGATTGGCTGAAACTGGAACCAAGTTGTCACAGAGGAACCAATCAGCATAAAGCAGTGTCAGGATTGGTTGCATCAAGTAAATGTGAACCAGCCAATCAGGAACAGCAGTAGGCATAAACAAGGAAGTGAACTAGAGTGATAAAAAGAAAAACACAATGAGACACATCATATAAACATAAATAACCAATACGTGCTGGCACGTAACACCTACCCACTAAAGAA